CTCGCTTCCCCCCAGGCGCGCCGCCGAGGAACGCGGGTAGCAGAGCAGCTCGAGCCAAGCGCAATCGCCAGAGACGGCCTGCGCAGGGGCCCAGGAAGCGCTGCCTGGGAGCTCCGCACAGGGCCCACGAGGCGATGTGTTAGTAACCGCCTGGAGGCTGCGAGCGAGCCCAGGACGCGCTGCCTGGGAGGAGGAGGACGAGGAAGAGGAGGAGAAGGAGGAAGAGGAGGCGGAGGCGGAGGAGGAGGAAGAGGAAGAGGAGGCGGAGAAGGAGGAGCCGCGTAGGAGCTACGAACGAGACTTGGAAGTGTGGCCCAAGAGCTTCCAGGGAGCTGCGCGCGAGCCAGCGACGTGCTGCCCGGGCGCCACGAAAGCAAGCGACGTGCTGCCCGGGCGCCACGAAAGCACTTGCGGCCCGCGTGTTGGGATCGGCCAGGGGAGACGACAACGCGAGAATCATCAAGCTGCCGGGGGATGCCCGACTGGCCGCATGGAGAGGATGCTGGCCGCTGGACGGTCCCCCTGTGTTTGAGGAGTCTGTGTGCTTGGTGTGTGGGTATCCCGTGCCCGCGTCGCCTTTAGGGTCGGCCTGTTGCGCCGACTGGTCCTTCACGAGGCCCCTCCGTGATCTTGGTCGTGAGACGAGACATCTCACGTGCTGCTCTCTCGTGGCCCTTTTTTGTGCCTGCCGCGTGCGGGCTTGTGGCCTGCGGTCGCACGTATATGACTGCACGCCCCGTGCAGCCGTGCAGTGGGCCCCCTGTGCAGCCCTTACGCGGTCTTCCGATCCGATCTGATCCGAGCCTCCTCTACGGAGCCTCAAGGTATACAACACCACCACCTCCCTCATGCCCTTCCTCTCCCAGGGAAGAGGCGAGGAAGAGGAGGGTGGAGGAGGGACGAGGAATCGACGTGGTGGTGGTGGTATATATCCTTGGGGCCCGCATCCTCCTCGTGGGCGGTGCGCTCCTCGCCCCTCGGCGGCGACATCAGCACCTCCCGCGGCATGCGCGCCAGCTGCTTCACAAGCTCGGCGCCTCGGCGCCCGGAAGCAGCGGCGCCGCGAGGACAGGGGGCCTAATGCGGGAGGCCTGGAAATGGGCACCAACACTAACAAACCAACAAACGGGCATGCCTAAATTGGGGGAAGATGATCCTAGAAACCGGTATTGGTGGTAGTACTTCGGCCGCCAAGGAAGCAAAAACTATTACCAGCCTCACCGAGATCGGGAGCAACTTCCCAAGGTGGAGGCACCGCGCCGATATTGGTGTTGCTGTCAACCTCTGGGCTTGTGGATGCCATGACAATCGACACTCAAACAATCCTATCATTGAATTAAAGATGTGTTCAACATGCGGCAAACATGTTCTAAGAACGTTTCAAACATGTTTCTACATATGCAAAACATGTTTGAAACATGCTGACATCCGGAAATTATTTGGCAGCAGGCTCCCCCTCCATTTCTCGACTTCCACAACTCAAGGCCTCCCATCCTGCTGCAGGAGGAGCGGAGGAGAAAAGGAGAGGAGGAGGAGGAGGAGGAGGAGGAGGAGGAGGAGGAGGAGGAGGAGGAGGAGCTGAGGAGAAGGGAAAGACACCGCCAGCCCACGCCACGGCCGCCAGCGTGGCCGCCCGCGTGGCCGCCAGAGCGCGGAGGGGAGGGCGCCGACGCGCCCACCTGGCACGATGGGGCTCCCGCGCCCGCCAGCGGCCCGCGCGCAGTCGGCACCGTCTGAAGGGGCCCTGGGACACACAGAGAAAGACACACAAACAAACAGATTCCCCCCCACTGGCCATCGCTCGGACGCTCATTTCCTGTGTTTTTTGTCGGTTTCGTGCGTGGTTGTTTCGCCGAATGATCAAGGATGCTCCTCGATGGTCCTCGCCGAGGAAAAAACGCACACGTCCGAGCGATGCCAGGCCCATATGTTTGGGGTTTCTGTCTTCCCCTCCACTTCCCATATTTGCCCATATCTTCTGGGGAATCGAGGGTTCATTGTGTCTGTGTGTTTCTTTTCATCCTGATCTTTGTCTGACGTCGCCCAACGGTGTCCAACTGCGTCGCAGCCGATGGCTCTGGAGCGGCGCGTGTTTGCGATTCAACGGATTTGCGCAAGGTATACCTCGCCATCGCCTGGACGTTCATTCCCTGTGCATTGTTCGGTGTCGTGCGTGTACTTTTCTCGCCACATGAATAAAGATGCTGCCCGATGGCCCTTGCCGATAAAACAATGCACGCGTCTGAGCGATGCCAAGATACACTCACACATGGGTGTTCAGGAATGCTCCTTCAAGGCATTTGCCTGTCGCACTCGGGAGTGCCAGCCATTGGTGGCATCATGATGTTGCGCCCCCCATGTCGAGCGCCTCGTGTCTCGATCGGCGGCGGGCCTGGGGGGGAACGCGAAAGGGCGGTCCTTCTCGGCGGTGGACAAGCCTCCCTTTAGTAAACCACCCTTTAGTGAAAACGGCCTAGGACCCAAACCTACTGACCTGGACCCGCAGAAATGACGGCCGCGACGCTCTCTCGCGAACCGAAAACGGTCAATTCGCTAATCGACGTGTCAGGGTAGGACGTCTATCAACCTCCGACCTTCTCAGAAGGCCCGGAAGTCCCCCGGCCTCCTTCAGCCTTCCCCAAAGGCACAGGAGACTTCTCAGGAGGCGCATGGGCTCCTGAGCAGTCCCGCCGCCTTCTGCGAAGGCCTTCTCCTTCTCCTTTCCCCCCCGCTCGCTGCAGATTCGAGCATCTTCGCGAAGGCGGGGACACGAACGGCACCTGGGGCACTTGAGATGGTGCTTCTCCGGCCTTAATGTGGACGTCCACTGCGAGGATGTGTCGGGATCCGTCTATCTTGCCATCGCTCGGACGTCCATTCCCCGTGCATTTTGCGGCTTCGTGCAAGTTGCTTTCCCTCGATTATCCAGGATGCTATCCGATGGCCCTCGCCAAGAAAAAATGCACACGTCCGAGCGGTGCCAAATCGAGATGGTGCTTCTCCAGCCTCGATGGTGCCGATGTGGACGTCCGCTGCGAGGAGATGTCGGGACCCGACGGACTCACTGCGCGCGCCGCCTGTGTCTCTTTGTGCACGGTCGGCCTCCGACGATGTCCTGGACCCCACCGGCGGCCTCTGCAGGCGCCGCAGACGACGAGGAGCCTCGTCCTTCAGTAATGTTAAAGTCGGGCCTGCCCCTCCACAGGAGGAATGCTCAAAAACAGTCACAACATGATATGGGGACGATTTTTTTAAAGCATTTGTTGATCCTTTCGAAAATCCCCCTGTAAGGGGACAGGCCCGACTTAACAAACATGACCCCCCTCCTCCCGTCCGAGCGATGCCACACGAGAGAGCCCATCACCTGCACCGCCGGGCCGGGCCCGAGCCGGCGCGCCCAGCATGTGCCGACCGGCCCCGGCGAACCCGGCGCCGACGAAGAGAACCTCGAGGCTCGACGGCAGAGGGGCCCCGCGGACATCCCTTAGGGCTTGTCGACTTTTCGCCAATCGACTTGTGAGAATCGAGCCAGATAAACCCAGGTAAATGCAGATAAATCGAGGTAAATCCAGGTAAATCTAGATAAATCTGGGTAAATCCAGGTAAATCCAGAGATCTCCAGGGAAAGTTCGAGCACTTCGCGGCCGCTCCAGCGCGAGTCGAAGGACGGCAGAAGTCGTTAAGCCTTTAACGAGGACAGACCCAGACACGCGACGGTCTTGCCATCGCTCGGACGCCCACTCCCCGTGCACGCTTCGGCCTCGTGCGTGCTCTTGCTCCCCCCAAAAAAGGGTGGTCCAACATCAGGGGGACGAGCGACGACATGAACGTGAAAACCCGGAGGTCCGCGCGGATTTCTCGGATCCGCGCTGGACCCCCCCGGCGGCGCCTCCGGCGCCGCCCCTGGCGCGTTCCGCGCGCCAGGGAAGGAGGTCCAGCGCCGATCCGAGAAATCCGCGCAGACCTCAAAGAAGTTGTTTGTTTATGTCATTCTAAAAAAAAGAAGCAACCACATAAACATAAACTTTTGGCGCTCCGCGCAGATTTCTTGGACCCCCGCTGGACCCCCATCCCTGGCGCGCGGAGCGCGCCAGGGGCGGCGCCGCAAGCGCCGCCAGGGGCCCCCAGCGCCGATCCGAGAAATCTGCACGGACCTCCGAGTTTTGTGTATTTGTCATTATTCGTTCCCCTAGAAAGGCCCTTCGACGAGGAGGAGAAGGAAGAAGAGGAGGAGGAGGAGGAGGAGGAGGATGAGGAGGAGGAGGAGGGAATTAGAGGAGGAGGGAGGGGTGAGGAGGAGGGGAGGGAGGAGGAGGAGGAGGGGAAGAGGAGAAGGACGGGATAGAGGGGGAGGAGGAGGGAGGAGGAGGAGGAGGCGGAGGAGGAGAGGAGGAAGGAGGGGGAGGAGGGGAGGAGGAGGGGGAGAGGAGGAGGAGGGAGGAGGAAGGAGGAGGAGAGGAGGGGAGGAGAGGAGGAGGGAGGAGGAGGATCGGAAAGGAGGACGGGGAGGAGAGAAGGAGGAGGAGGGGAGGAGGGGGGAGGAGGGGGAGGAGGGTGGAGGAGGAGAAGGAGAGTAAGGGAGGTGGAGCGGGGGGGGGAGAGGGAGGAGGGTGGGGGAGTAGGAGGAGGAGGAGGAGGAGGACGAGGATTTTCTCGACATCCACAACTCTACCATGCTCTTTGCCCTGGATTAGTGTTCGAGGGCACCCGGGGCCCAAAGACAGGCTCTGGAGGCCGAAGTCAAGGAGAACTGCCAGGACTGACCTAGTCCCTAGTCATCATATCTTCGGAAGCCGGAAAGGGGTGTGGCATAAAGGGGCATGGCGCCAATCGTGGAAATGGCGATGCTATCTGCGATAGATACCATCGCCAGATTCCCCTTGGCATAAAATTAGCACCACACCCCCGATCCTCGATCCTGCTTCTCGTCCTCTGCCTTGACCCTCGAGTCTCGATCCTCGCTACTGATCCTGCTCCCGTGAGGGGCAGCGATAGGGGTG